GTCCTTGATCCATTGGTTGTACAGCGCCTCCGGGGGCTCGGCTGCAGGCACGTCGCCTTGTCCTTGTGCCACCCCGTGATCTGCAACAGCCGGGAGCCACCCCGCTCGCCTTCCAGAAGCCACGCAAAAACCGGCACATGTAGCGCTCTGTTGTCTTGAACTTCTCCTTGCTCACAACCTCCCAGGCACTAATGCTGGGCAGGACCAAGCCACACTCCACCGATCCCCAGAACACATGCTCTGCCTCCTTCGGGAAGCGCTTCCGCACGTAGTTCGTCCCCGCCGCTGCCGTCACCGTGGCCGTGGTGACGGGCGGGTAGCGCCGTGTGCCCTGGTCCGTGGACCTCAGCGTGGTGTCCGCGCCGGCCATGATCTTGGCCTTCGTGTCCGCCTCCTTAAGGAGGCCGCCGCCCCCCCGGGGCCGGAGGCACCCTGAAATGGGGGAGCAGCCCAGCTTCACGATGTGGTCGTGGGAATAGCCCAGCTTGTCGTACAGGGCCCCCGCCGCCTCCCTAGGGACCTCCTCAACCCAATCGTGCTTGACCTCCACCATGGAGGTCTTGCTCAACCCCGCCACCAGTTTGGTGTAGAGACCGCCTCAAATCCCCGGAGCGCGGACAGCGGCAGGGTGATCCGCTCGTCGCAAATCGCCCGGAAACGCAGCGCCTCCTTGCTGCCGTGGATGGGTGCCACTGGCAACTCCATCACTGGGGTGGGGCAATTTGCGATGAAATTCATCTCCTTGAGGACGTAGGTCCACTCCGTCTTGTTCCTGGGCTTGGGGACGCCCAGGCTCTCGAAGAAGGGCACCGCCTCCTTGCGCATCTGCAGGATATTGCCGAGCCACTTGTCCGACGTGGAGCCCTCGGCGTTGCGCCCCCTGCGCTGCGGCTTCACCACCAACGGGAAAGTGGCCCACGCCGAGTAGATGTACCTGAATGTGAATCGGTGAGCGTAGGCCCCCGTGAGGGTCGGAAGATCCCACGTCCGAGACCCCATCGTACTCGGCCCAGAACACCCCCACCACCTGCTCCGGGGGGGGCCGCTCCCCACGATCCACCTGGGCCGTGATCTCCAGGGATGTGTAGATGACGGGGTCAATGTCCTCCGTGTTGCGCGTGCACGGGTGGGTCCGCTTCTCAATGGCCAAGAGCTGTTCCGGCGACAGGCTGAAGAGCTGGCCCGCGTTCTTAGGGATCTGCTTCTTCCACACCCCCCCAAACATCCGGAGTTCGCCTTGGTGCCGCTTGATAGCCCAGAGGATGAGGGCCAGCTTGCCCCCCCCGATTCCAGGTCTGGCTGAGGCGCCGGCTGGTGGGGGGCCTCCGGCATCTCCGCCAGCAGTTCCGCCTCCTTCCACGGATTCCTTGACTCTTGCAACTGCTGGATGAAGGCGATATACTTCTCCTTGATCTCGTGTGGCGGTGGCAAGTCCTCCGGGTCCTGCAGTTCCAGGGGACAGAAGAGACCCTTCTCCAGGGCGCGCTGGAGTTCCGCGGGCCAGACCGACACATCCAGGGGGGAGAGGGAGTGGTTCTTCATCCAGGCTTGGTTGGCCTCCTGGATGCGCTGGTTTGCCGCCTGGGCCTCCGTGACCGAGCCCATGGCCTCCGTGAGTGCTTTGCCCGCGTCCGCACTCCTCCCCTCCAGGTACTGCTCCCTGAGCTTTTCCCGGAACCGCTCCAAGTTAACCTTCCGGAGGGCGGAGTTTGCCACCTCGTCCGCCGGCACGGACTGCATGCCCTCCTGGATCGGGGCCAGGACCGCCATCTCATTGTCCAGGAGCTCGTCCGTGATGATCTCCTTGTGCAACTTCCTTGCCGCCACCTCTTCCGGGGCCAACTCCCGCTTTCTGGCCAGGACCTCTTGGAGTGCGGCCTTCTTCTTGATCGCCGCATCGATCTGGGGGTGGTAGAGCTTGAAGCACTGGGCCTCCGCCTCCTGGAGGGACCGCTGCACTTTCACCGCACCCGGTGGTCCGCCTGGATCTTGGTGGCCTCCGCGTCCGCATCCATCGTGAGGATCTCCTGCCTGATGTCCACCCGCTTGTCCAAGGGAACCACGTCCGCCATCGTGATCTCGTCCATAGAGTCCGTCGGGGCCTCCCCAGATTGGAGCCATCCACCAACTTCCGGCCCGCTGCCTTCTGGGATCCGCCGGGGCCGGAGGCACCCTGGCTTCCCCCGTCCTGCTGCTGGAACCAGACCGGCTTGCCGTCCAAGATCCGCAAGTCTAGGTGATGCCCTCGGACTCGTAGGTGGCCGAAGGCGCCTGGTATGGAACGGACTCCAAGCCCGGACAAACCCAACACTGCTTGGCCGCCTCCGGCCACCCAGTGCCGCACGACTTGCACATGCGGTCGTAGTCTGCCTGCCCGGCATCCAGCCTGCGCATGCGCAGGGCGCCAATCCCCACCTTGTTTTGCTGGAACTGCGAGCGCTGCCGGAGCTGGATCTTCATCGGGACATAGGCCTCCAAGATGCGGAGAACCAAGTCCTCCGTGAGGCCCTTGCCGACAAACTTGTGGAAGAGGGCCCCCATTTCCAGCACCGTTGTGTCCCGCAGCAAAGCCGCTGAAGCCGGCAGCAGCGGGAAGGCGTCCGGGAGGTCCACCACCTTGAAGTAACCAGCCTTGCTCACCACCGGTTCGAGGGTGACTAGCTTGTTCTCCACCGCGTGACTGGGTTTCGAGGCCGCCACAAATCCTTTCATCTTCTTGGCCTGCGGGGCTTCGTCACTGGGTACCGCATCGCCCATATCCACGTCACCCTCGTCCGCGGGGCCGGAGGCACCCTTGCCGGACTCGGGGCGGTCGAGCATAAACTGCAGGTGCTCCAGGGCCTTGGAGAGGCTATCCACCACGTCCGCTGCCGTGCCCTCCGGGGGGGTGGAAGGTTCCGCCAACACCAAGCCTGCGGCCACTGCTGCCTCCCGGTCGCGCATTTCCTGCGCCTCCTGGGTGGCCATCGCCACATCCGCCTCCGTGACCTGCTGCTCCTCCACCAACTCGAACGAAGACACGGTAGACACCGAAGAGGCCATTGCAATGGGTGTTTTTAAACTACAGAGAGTTCAACAAACCCAAGGCAATGCTTGAGCCAAAATGGCATATACGCCATGTTGGCCAAGCATTGCCTACACAGTACATGTTTCCACATGTTCCAACATTAAACAATGAATCAGTCCCCTGGTTTGTCCTTCATTACGGGGTGTCCCATTGTGGAAGGGGGAGTGCCACCGAACACACACACACACACACACAACTTCCTGGAAAAAAACAATAACACATCCAGTAGTGATAGATTCCTTGAAAACACCAACCGGGGGGAAATAACAAAATATTCGTAAGCAACTGGAAGAAAACACAAACTCAAACACAGAAGCACACCATAGAACCTCTAGGAACTCATCGCCACTTTCAGGGGGCCCAACGCACTATGCCTCCAATCAGTCGGTCCAAAGCTGGTGTGACCACCCAGTAAACACCCCCAGAGTTCCCCTGGCAGCAAGGCCCTGCAGATATCTCTCTCTCTCTCGCTCTCTGTTTGCTGTTGCATAGAGGGTCTTGACTCGGCAAGGCGGCGAAAAGTACTTGGGCTGCCCAATTGCTCAGCGACCGAAAGGACGCTGTTTCGGGGGTTGGCGATGCTGACCAATTTTGGTGGGTAATCCTCCTAAAAGAAGGGACTGCTTAGGAGTGGCACAGAACATTCGGGCTATTATCTTGGTTGCTCTTGACCCCCCTGCTAAAAGTTTAACTTTTTGGAGGTTTAGTGGAAAACACTTTTCTTTCCCAACAAGTTCAAGTCTAAAGATCCAACCCAATAGCAGTCAAGTTGCGGGGTCGACATCCCGAGCTCCAAGTTGCACACTTTCTAAAGCGATGCGCCTTGTGAACCCCTGACATAGTGAGAGGCGTGGCCTCCTACTCACCACGAGGGCAACCGCGCGCCGCGCGACCGGCGCATCGTGAGAGCTTTCCGTGGCAAAGGGGGTTGAGAAACATAACTGTTCAAGGCCCTTTAAAGTGAGCTTCCTTGGGCTGATGTTTAGAGAGAAAAGATAGGGAAGCCTGATTTGTTTACTGAAAAGGGAGGCCGGTTTTAGCGTCTCTTTCAGTGGATGGGAAACTCTCATGCCCAAAGGAAAAGCAATCTGGGTTCATTCCCTCATTCCATACTGAGCAGCAGCAAGTCTAAGAACCAAGATTTTAGAAAACGAGGTTCCTAGCCAGTTGTCGGGTTCTTTGAAAGGCTTGAACAAGCGGGGTGCCTGCTACCTGAAAGTGTCCATCTTGTTTATAAGGGTCATTCCTTCATTCCATGCTGAGCACCAGCAAGTACAGAGGGCTATGAAAGAACAACCCTGCCATCCCTCATGGTCCAGATTTGGTAGGAGATGAGTTCGTTGGGGAATTGCAACTAATTCTCTGGGAAACGGGCAATGACTACTGCTTCACATCAAGCGAAGGTGTCCCTATCACATACGGGGGGGACCAACCTCATTCTTGCAACCCTGCTGTCATTTGATGGCAGTGGGAAGTCAATAGAACTTCCAAACGATCAAATACGCTCAATGAGTGAGGCTTGGTTCTGCTGCTATAAAAGGCTATCGCACTCACTATAATCATCCTGAGCCGCAGTTTTTTGGGTGCTGCTCAAATTTGCCTTCCGACATCATGTCCATTCAAAGCATTCCTAACCCCCTTGCCAGGAATGATGCAACACAAAAAACACGAGGCATCCAGCACCCGCGGGCTGCTGTCCAAAACGCAGCCCGCGGGTGCTGGATGGCAAAGGCTGCTTTGCATGTTTTGGCAAAGGCACCACTCCACGACACAGGCCGAATGTATACGTGAATGCATGAGCCCCTAGCTTGCTCAGTTGCAGTTCTGGCAAACTCGCCTCAAAGAGGTCGCAAAATGGCGATGGGCCCATATGGACGTCTACAATTCGGCCTTTCAACTAAGCCTCACTAGAGGATTTTGAACTGACCCCAGCTCACGGCAAGAGCGGCTCGTCCAAGCCCTTCTTGTGATCTTCCAAAATCACTGCGGGGTCTCGGGTCATGTTTCCGATCTCCCCCTGCTCCAGGTATTGCACAAAGGCCTTTTTGGTGATCATGCCAACCTGAGGTTCAAACGGACTCTACATGGGGTTCAAGTGCTCAAACGTTTTGTAAAACATTGCATATGCTCGATATCTTCTTCTTAAACAACCCCCTGCCATGAAAGATGCCACCAAACAATTTGGATGGTAAAGCCCGCTAATAATTACAAGCAGTTTACTCTTAGAATCACAACTATGTCGGGCTTTACAGCAGCACACCTAACAATCTCAAATCTTGGACTTCTTACAGAGGTCTGAAAACCCATCGCCTCTCGCTCCTGTGGATGGACAAAACCCGCTCGCACCAATTGGCAGATGATTTATCCATCCCAACTGGTGCATTTGCTTGTCCATCTGAACAAAACCAGCAGGGAAAGCAATGTTTATACAGCAGGCGCATCTATCGAAATGAAGCCAAGATTTGTTTGCTGAATTTTGCCATTCATGGCTTTTGGGCAATTGCTCAAGTGATGATGCGTCTGTAAAAGCCATGGGGGATGCATAAACAGGAGCCGACCCCCCCCGCCCCCGGTAGATGGCGCGTGTAGGAATCATCGTTCCCTCTACTTGTGGGCGCGAAAGGGGAGTGGCATCTACTCGAATCCTGTCGGGGATGTGGGTTTGTCTCAAGATCAGGCAACCCCCGAAACCAGGGCTTGAAAACAACATGGACACAATGTGTACCCTCCAAGAACCTTGGCTGGAGTTAGGACCCCAGCCAAAATAATGCCTGGTTAGTGGAAAATAAAGGGAACCCCAAAAAAGGAAGAAAAAAAAAAGGGGGAAGTAATTCTGGGGAGGGAACGACACCCCGCGAACATAGGGGAGTGGTCTCACTGCATGTCCAGGCGCCAGCTGCCCAAAGCTGCACACCAGCACAAGCTTCAGGCCAAGCCTGACGCGACGCTCGTCTGAACAAAGCCTATCTGCTCTAGTAGCCTCGAAAAATGAAGAATAAGCTCATCATAGGGTCTGGAAACTGTGGGCTTTCTTTTGGACAGGCACCAAAGAACATCAATTTGAACCAGGATCAGAGCAAACTACTGTAACTCCTATATTTCACAAGCCGTGAACCAACAAACGGCAAGCCAGGAACCCTCACAGGTGAGCTCGCTTCACCCCAGGTAAGTCCCGGTGTCCGTTCCGAATCAACCACGGACTGCCGAATATCTTAACTTCATGCCGGCAAACCCGCTGCTGAATGCCGAAGGAGAGGAGGAGGCGAGGCAGGGAGGAGAGGCAGGACAGGAGAAGAAAGGAGATGAGATGAGAAAAGAGAGGAGAGGACAGGGGAAGCGAGGAGGAGAGCAGAGGCGGAAAGATGAGAAGAGGAGACAAAGGGAAGCGAACTGAGGAATGATTCCGGGAGCGGAAGGGGAGTTGAGATGCTGGAGCTCCTCCAAGCCCAGACCGAGGAAAAAAAAAAACGAGCGAGCGAGTTGCTGGCAAAGCGTCTCTAAAAAGATCTGGTGGACCTGTTCCAAGCGCGTCTCTGGGACAATCTGGATTACAGTGCGGTCCACCAGGGAGGAGAGGTCCAAGGTCTTGTCATCCAGTGGCTGAAAGGATGCCATCGGGTTCCTAAGCCCAAATGCCCATGGCAAAAGAGAAGGGGCGCACTCAAGTGTTTTTTTTGATTTCCCCCCCCCCCAGCAGAAAACAAGGAAAAGGGTGCCACTGTGAAATGCGGGACAGATTCTTCACAGCCAACATGCTCTGTGGTATCGCGAATTTGCTCAGTGAATGCTTCCCTGGTATTAGGTATTTGTCACTCACATGGGTTGGAGCCCCCCTAATCAATGTGCCCCGGAAAGACCATGTGGGCTTCCAGGGTTGCAATGGCTTCAACAAATTAGACCAAAACAAACAATTCGACGGGCCAACAACATGCCAACAGGTCGGATCGTGACAACCGAGCTGCTGAAAAGACCGACCCGAGAAGGCCGTCTCCTCTCTGGGAAGATGCCAAGTTTGCTGGTTTAGTTAAAAACTCAGGGGAAGCCACTCGTTTTGGGGGCTCCCCTGTTTTGAGGAGCCAACTGTTTGGAAGAGCCAGCGCCAACAACAAAAGGCAAAGCGTCTTCATCGTCACTCTGACTGGGAGCTGCTGCAAGTACTCGCGCAGGCTCTCAGTAGACACATAGCCCACCAAGGCGCGATCCTCCTGCTTGTTCAGTGACACTTGCACAAAAAGCAAACTCGTTCGCCTCCATTTGCTTTAGCCTCTTGGACAAAACAAATTATGTCCAATGACCCTTTGAAACCAAAGAGGGAAATACACATTCTTACAAGCAAACGGAAGTGTTGGGGTTCATGAATCGTGATTTTCTTTTGACCCAGTTGTGGCTGGCTTGCTTTCGAGGGAGTCCTCGGACACGATCACAGGGAAGCCCCCGTACTCCGCCTGGTTCACCAGTTTTGTAAGCACTGAGATCTGACAGGCATTGCAGGTCAGGCATTCCTTGGTGGGCCAATGGCACTGGAAAAGTGATGACCGTTCTGGTTGAACCCCTTTTAACATGGACCTCCAAGGCTTTAGGCGAGGGGGATATCCCTAGATAAGCCCCTAACAAGGCATTGCTCGGTTTGATCAAGGATATGGCTGCCCCCGCCCCGATAACCCCTCTGGGATTCCATTTGTCCAAGGCCCCCTTACGACGTTGGAGCTAGTTTGCACCACCAAGGCAGCATTTCAAATAAATTCAACAGCAGGCCTCCTCACGTTTGCCATACCAAAAGCCAAATTTGGTCATAACCACAACACGTTCAAGATAGTACTTGTTTGGCCCAGTAGAAATTCCGGCCATGTGTGCAAGTGAAGCGGATGACGAGTGACGAACAGTGTCATCTACTTTCACCCAACTGTACTCTTGGATGGTGGCTGGGATTGGTGGTTCTGCCTCCGAATCTGGTTCAACTAAAGAAGGTACCCCTGGATCTTGCATATTGAGAATCAGTTAACTGAAGGACCCAGAAAGATGTTTAGTCTTCTTGTTCGCCCGAAATTGTTGATAGAATCAATCAGTGGGAACTCACCCCATGAAACTACAGCCAGCTAGAGTTACCTGTCGTGGACATTGACCAAAAAGGGGAAGCTGAAAGGTAGATTAGCTTTGGGCAAGCAAAACGAATCTAAAACACAACAAAACACACATGAGGCAAGGCGTCAAGCTCCTCATCCATGACATCCCCGGCGCGTGACTTAAAGACCACCGACTCAGACATTAAGTGGGGATATCCCCGGAGACTGATGTGGCACTCGTCCATGGAGCAGGTGAGCCTCAGTGGTGGGCACGGACCCGCCCTGATCAGATTGTGTCTTGAGCCCGCGGCGTGAAATATGATGATCCCCCGCTATAGTCTGCTTTTTTGGGAGGCCAATGAGGAAGAAGCCTTCCAAATGCCCTCCGGATTCTTTGTGAAAATGCGGGAGCTGCCCCGCACCACCCCAAAGCTTATTTGGGCAGAGACCCCAAACCTTGTAGCGGTTGGGGAAGAAGATGCAAAAAAGCACAGGGAACGAAAGCGGTCTTTGTTGTTCTGGCATATGGGCACGGAATGGGCGCAAGAACTAAACAGGCAACTGACTATCAACAAAACCAAGCTACCATTGACATACGCATGTGTATACATACAAATATATATATATATATATTACAAATCTATACATACGGACATGTGAATCCATGTGTGAATAATTGTGAATATATACAGATATGTACATATATACATTGTTATTTACTAACGAGCCAGTACAGGCAAATAACAAAACAACACATTGGGATACAACTTGTGTTCGTAAGCGGAAACGAAGGTACGTTCGGACTAGGAACAATGGGAATAACCAGACTCCTGCCCTGTTTAACACCCATCACACCACATCTGACATCACACCCACTGTCTGTGGGACAATCCATATCAGCAACACTTAAGGGATGTCAAACACATATTGGGCTGGATATGTTTTCAGCGATTGTTGGCAACCCACACGTCCCAAAGTTACAGGGACCACTTCCCAAAACATGAAATTCCCCAAACTCATCAGGGCCTCCCACTTCGATGCCACACATCACCGGGCTGTTTGATGACACATCAAGGCACTCTCTGCCTGAGTGGGTCCGCCAAACAAGTCAAAGTAAATCCAAAAAACTCAGGAGCTAAGGCTAGTACCTGCTCTGCACATGAAGGTTGTTCAGCGTCAAACTCACTCACAAAACATATATTCAGTGGGAGGTTGGCAGTTGTGCGTGGTTGTGCTTGCATTATGCCCGTACAGATTGACATGAAACTCGCACAGCACTCATGTGTAATGGAATCTCCTTCGAGGGATCAAGCTTTCGGGCTCTACGTTCATCTGCACGGAGCAGGGCTCGGAGTAGGGCTTTCTTTGTGATACCAACATGGGAGTCCGATCCAACCATATGAACATGGGGACGGATATTCGCCCAACTTTCCCACGTTCCCCACGCTGCGGGGGAGGGGGATGCCTACTGGTAGGTTAGCACACAAAACCGGAACGTCACGTCCCACGAAAATCAACAAACGGCTAACCTTTCCAGGCCATGACTGGAAATGATTGCCCAAACTAGCTAAATCCAACTGCAAAAAAGGCGAAGGCCTGCAAAAGGAACAGCACGCCACTCTTAGCCTAAATCTGCATTGGCTTCAAGTAGCATTGAAAACAAGACACCACACCAACTCATGTCCAACAATGACCTGCAGTACGCTTCCCCACCCTTTCCGGGATCCTTCGTTGTAGAAAATGTGAGCCAGCAAAGGGCATGGGGAAATTGGTGGAAGCACCTTCCGTAAAAAGGAAAACTCATGAGCATACCGGCCGCAGCATTGTGCTACCTATCGCAGCAAGAAAAGAACAAGGCCGACAGCTCCGGGTTTGCCTTTTGCCTTGCACCGTTAACGAGTCCTTCGTCACTTGGAGGTCCCTCCTTCCTCAAGGGGTCAGGTAAACTTCCCTTGACAGGAAAACCGAACTATCCATTCGCTCACGGCCTTACCTTACATTAGCTTAAGCCCCCTGGAAAAAAAAAAACAGCAACAACCATATTTCCGGTAGTGATGGCTTCTCCTTAAGACCAACCAGGGAACGTAACAAACACATCTCAAGCCAATGGAAGATGCTGGAGAAATCGCCGGTGCCCAGGCGCAGACTGCCCACCCAGTTGGCCGTCATGATGGCCACCATGAAGGGCACGACCAGCTGCAGTGCGCCTGTGAGCTCGAACCTCGTGGCGCACCGACTACTGATTGCTCGTGTTTGGACCTTGGGACGGATCCAAAAGGACACCTGCACTTCTAGGCCATGCATGAATTCCAAAAAGTCAAAATCAGGATACACTGGCGCACTTGACACGAAAAAACAAAAAAAAAGTACGGAAAATCAACATGCCCACACATTCTGGTGTCCTTATGAATGGGATCGATCATAAATAGGTTGTTGGCATGCTTACGTACGATTGTCCTTCGGCGCTGGGGATCGGAACCCGTTTATTGAAAGCTGCTTAGGGTCCCCTGCATGATCTCTGGTGCTGGCCACTTGCTGCCCCGCTCGTCCTTGGAATGGTGGCGTTTTGACACCGTCAAGAAAGCAAACAGGGATCCCCTTGCAGGGGCCCCGGGTGCAAACACACCTTGCTAAGGGTTCTTACCTTATCAACGCCATATTTGGGCCATAAGGGGGACACCACCTCTGTACACCCTCCCTGCATGGTTTATTCGCGCCTCTGTGCCTCTTTCTTTCAGGACTGAGAAACCATCTGAACCCTCTGGCACAAACACCGCTGAAGAAATGCAGTCCCATCTTTCGCTTTGATAGTTTGCTGCCCAACCATGCCAAAGGAAGCACCTAACTTCAACACGTGGGCGTACCTGCCAAAGTCAAACATGAAATTAACATGAATGATCAAAACGCAACGGCTTCGTGTTGGCACCTTCCAAATCAATTCAAGGCCCTTGTCTTGGAATGTGTGCGGCTTTGCTTCATGTGGTTGGGCGGTGCCTTATACGTAGGTTGCATAGCTAGCCTAAGATGGGGCGCCAGGGCCTTGTGCGGGCCTCGAACCTTGTGCGCGGGTTCCTTCGTGGCTGTTCGTGCGCCAAAAACATGCCACATCTGCTACGGGCCACGTACAAGTGTTGCGCTGAAGGCATCGGCATCGAGCAAAAACAGACCCAAAAATGGTTGAGGTCCTCCCAATGTCATATGGATTTCACTTCGGGAAGCCCAGCCTTTCCTTGCACATCGCCCACAGTGCAGCATTGGGTGATGTTGAGCCAGCCCAAAGACACGTGTACATTGGACTCTCAAACACTGCAGGTAAAGAGCAAGGCAGTCAACGTGTTTGGTTGGCTTACTCGCAACATGTAGATGTGCAGTGACACATTTTGTTCGACACCACCACCCCCTTGCACCCTTACATTGCCTCTCAGGAACATGGCACACTGGGTGTTCTGAGTGCATCCTAAGAAAATCAGCCGGGTGCCTTATGGTGCCCTATGATTTTTCTGGACAACCCGAAAAAGATTCTGAATGAGCTGGTGAAAGAAGGGACCCTGTGGCATTGCGTAAGCTCACATCGAGAAGTCCGGACACTGGGCCAAGTGCTGCGACTCGCATACCGAGAAGCAGCGAGGATCATAGTTGGGGAATCTCCTCGAAAGCGATTGGTGGACAAAGGCCCCAAGGTGCTGTCCACAGGGATCCAAATCAAAACTTAGGGAATCCTTTTTGGCAAATAACCCTTCGTATGACATATGGAGATTGTTCCCATGACTTGATAGCTTTGCAGCAAATTCCCTCTCAGAAAAGTCCAAGCCATGCGATTCTTTCTTGGCTGAAAGGAGAGCAAATATTTTCTAAGTTTTGGCAGTTAAGTGGTTGGATTTCAACCACAACGTTTAAAAAACATGTTTCCCAACAGCAACCCTCTCGTTGGTTTTAGTGCTTTGGGCTCCCTCCCCCCTCCCTCCCCCCCAGCTCCCATGATTGTACCAGAAAAGGCCCACCCCTGCGATTCGTTCCTTGGGCTCGCGGCATCATCACCACCAGCGAGATGTGCACGCGGGTGATCCCTGCCAGCATGGCAGCAGCCCCGACCATGGCATAGACACCCGGCTGGGAGGGCAAAGGCACCTGCCGTGTACAGCCCAGGGCGGCCACAAAAAAAGGGGAACGATGTTTCTCGGGGTTGAGTCCTTTTCCATTCTATTCAACCATCGCTGTTTCCTTGGGTTCTTCTGGTTTTCTGCAAAGAAGGACAGCATCTTTGCATAGGTGTCCTTTGAGGGGAAATAGATGGCCCTGGCAGATGATTAAACCACCAGGGTTTACCAGGGCCATATATTTTTGTTTTACCCAAACAACCAAAAAAGGACACCTATGAATCTTTGTGATACCCCAAGGTCCTCCAGTAGAGAGGTGAGAATAAGGGTACCAACTTTTTCTGTAGTCCGTTTCAGTAGGGGAACCCTCCCCCCAAAAAGGGTGAAAGGGGAGAGCGATCTTCCAGGTATCTCCGTCGACAGTACCTTTCCGTGCTTCAGGAGCCATCTTCAGATGTGGCTCCTCATTTGTGTTTCAGGGGCAAAACCCTTAGAATGAGGTTGGTGGGTAGTTAAAAGCTATATTAAGCCATGAATCATAGGAATTCATGTTAGTATGCTTGTAGCACCATTATTCCCCGCAAGAAGAGTAACATCAGACCATCAATTCTATAGATAGTCCACTTGGGCGTGGTTCAATGGCTTTCGTATAGGCGTCCTTTCAAGCGGATAGGAACCTTCCATGCTTGGCCACCGGACCTTGATTGCGGGGTGGCCAAAACCTGCTTTTCCATGGAACCGGGGGTGAAAGCCGGCACAAAACCCCCGTAGACGGCTATATGATCAATATGGTGATCCGCCAAACCTCCTGGGGGGGGGGGGGGCACACATATCACGACAATTCAATGAGACTAGGGCCCAAATAGCTTCTTGGAAAACGTATACCCCTAAACCAAACATACAATTCAGTTCCTCCATCATTCTGAAGGGCAAAGTTGTAAACTGCCACCAAATGTTGACCCAGGGTCTGTCTTAAGGATTCCCGTTGGCCTTTTCCACTTGGAGGGGGGCGCATGGGGCGTCACTTCCAATGTTTCCTCTTCGCTGGTTCAAAGGGAATTTCCAAACGCTTCGGGGCCTTTCGACATTCCAGGCGTAGATGTCTTTCAACGACTTTGCCCAACAAAAGTTGCCCAAGAAGACTGCCCCGGCAGCCTTGGGGTCCTGACATAGATCACGGTAATGGTACATGACAAGAACCAACGTATAAACAGAGGAACTCATTGATGGCCAAAAAGGACCCAAGTTGAAGCATACCAAGGGGAATTTTACACCTGTACGGGGCAACACGCCTTTTGTTGCAAGTAAGGTGGACATGCGTCTACGAAGACAAAGTTGCTCAGGCAAGAAGATCGGGAGCGGGACCCTCAGCTCATAACTTCACACGGACTTCAAGTATCTCTGGCCCTGTGGCTCCCCAACGCGCATAGCAGCCACAGCTACGTTTCCAAAAAGGACAACTCCAAGCAACATACAACAAACAAGCAACAACAACAGCCATCAAGAAGAGTAAAACAATAACATACAACAAACAAGAAGAAAAGAACTGTCAAACAAGCGACAGACAACAAGCAAAAGCCAAACAGCATGCAAGGACCAACATGAAACAAGGTTCTGCCCCGCCTGGGACCACTGGCCGAACTCGTGCACCAAGATGCCAGTGCCGCGGCCCAGGCACCCCCCGATCAGCAAAGAAGAGATGAAGTAGCCCCCGGGGGTGCCTGAGAAGTGGCAACACGTTGCACCTTGGCAATTTAGATTTGGCCTCCCCCGCAATATTTGAGCAAGCATGGTTCACTGCAAATGGGTGTCGCCTTTTTTAGTGGAGCGCACAAAATGGTTGGTTTTCCTTTAACAAAAGGAAGAACATACAAACAAAAAGGTACTCTCAAAACGAGACAGACCCACAGTAATGCATTGAGCTGAGTAAGCATGAAACAGAATCTCTCAACACCTTTTTGTTGGTCGTCTCAATTTGTGGATTTCGGATTTGAAGCCCTGGATCATGTGGAACTAAATGGGAAGGTACCCCCTACCAAACCACCAAGAAGGATAAATGGTGAAGGATCCCTGGGTGCTGCATAGGTCTGGAAGAACAAAACACAAATATACAGGGAGAAAATTGGATTGGGAACGGGGGGGGGGGGGGCTGAGAGCAAGCCGCTTCTCAGAAGGGTTCTGATCAAAGGGCCCTGGGTCCGTTTCGCTCCGGTAGCTCCCATGAAGTGCCTGCATCGTAGGTGATCGCCAGCTCCAGCCAGCAGAGCCTGGAAGAAAAAACCGAGAGGTGCCGCAGTTCCACTCCGGGTTTTCGTTAAATCCGGGGGGAGGGGGGGGGGGGGGAATTAATTCTGAGGAAAAATGCCGATCCCCTTTCTTCCAACTGGAGAAAACATACTCGTTCCAAAACTCAGGGGCCACCCCCGGCTCCATTAGGAAAACAGAGGCCTTTTGGTGGGGTGATGTATCGAACAAAAAGAAGAAAAAGAAGAAGAAGAATAAAAAACGTATATGTTTGCCCAGAATAGATTTGGGAGCTAAGCCAGCTACCTACCCCAAAACTTGATTGTTTAGAGCTCCAAATGGTGTCCACTTGAAGGGCCCCAACTCAAAACCTTCCTTTTAACCCCTAAAATTGTCCAACCCCAAAAAGTGACAAAAGTCCGAACAGGATCTCAGGGACGTTTGCCAAGCAACAAAAAGCCCTCAGTTGGCGGCTGGGACTGGTGGCTTAACCCCTTCTTGTAGAGGGTAGATGGTTTCCCCACCCTGAAAACAAAACACCAAAGCACCAATTCAATTCACCAATCCAATTCACTAGTTGACTCACTGGCTGAGTAGATGGCCCAAAAAAAGTCCAAACTTTGTTTTTACCACTAAAACGGTCTTCCCAAAAAGTTTAAAGTTCATGAACTTAGGAAGTGAGTAGAGAAGCTGCTCCCCCCCCCTTTCCCCGTGGTTTCTCCTTTGGCCGTGGGGCAGGGCGCAGCCGCAGAGCGACCAGGCCACCTCGGAGTGCATCGCCGTCACGGAGCCCGAGCAGATGCCGAAGGACTCCGCCAAGGGACTCCGAGAGGTGCAGGAGGCAAACAAGGCCTCGGGCTTCGAATAAATATATATATATATATATTTGTTTATCTACTTATTTTTTTGGGGGGGCCTGCAGGATTAAAACAATGGGACTAGGTCTGGTATCGAATATTTTTTTTCTTGGGGGGGGGGGCCTGCAGGATTACAAAAATGGGACTAGGTCTGGTATCGAATATCTTTTTTCTTGGGGGGTGGCTGCAGGATTACAAACATGGGACTAGGTCTGGCGGTTTCGTTTTTTTTTTTTGGGGGGGGGGTGGGCCTACAGGATAAAAAAGAACGGGACTAGGTCTGGCGGATCTTATTTTGTTGTGGGGAGGGGGGGGGTCTCAGAATGGGAGTCGGACCCCCTCTTGGGTGGCTGTTGAAAGGGAAGGTTGAAGAAAGAATTCAGGGGTAGCACAAGCTTATGAAGGTTTCTTGCTTGGGGATTCTCTGATTTCCCTTTGAATCATCGTAATTTGCGCAGATGAGTGTTTCTCAAGTGGAATCCATAGATTGTGTGCGTCCTTTGGTTTCCCTTCAAAATCAAGGAGAGGGGTTGTGGAGGTCGTTGGTCCCTTCGAATTTGCCAGCCTTCAAGCCCCAAAAGGGGACATGAAATGCCATGAGTTCCCCCCCCTCCGCCCTAATTGGCGAGTTGTGGAACGAACGCATCCTTTGAAAGGCCTCCGAGCCCTCGGATTTGCTGTCATTCACCAGCCCAATCCCACCATGGTATGCGTGGGTGGGATGCTTAAAAGGACTCCGATCCTCAGGTAGCGAGCGGACTTTTCGACGTAAGCAGGCGGCGACGTTCAAAAGCCTTAGGCGTGAGGTCTAAACCATCGGTGCCACAACATGAGCTCCAGGAATGAGACCGCCGCCCAAGTTGTTTGTAAACAGGGGGGGTTCATGAAGGCGAGGTTCCCAACCTATTTCTGGATAAACTAAATCGAAATCCATGGAAACAGTACATATAATACAAAGCACATCTGCTGCTAGACGGCCTCCAATCGGCCTCCGCAGCGCACTGCAGCTATAAACAAAGATTACAAGCCCACATTCGGGTTGAAACCAATGTTTGGGCTGACCCAGAAGGGCATGCGCATTTCGCCTGTTCGGGTGTTGCCTGTGTTCGGGCGAGGTCGGAAGGTTCCCATAAGCGAGGTCCTAATTGTTGTTTACCACCCGAATCATAAGGCAACAAAAATGCTGCAGCTCATTGACCCGAACTCGGACGTACTCACCCCCTTTCTTTGCGGGTCCTCGCCTGCAGCGCGTCGTCTTGCCGGAAGAGCAGCGGTGAAAACCAGCCTAGGCAACAAGTGGGATTCAAGCCCCCTCCCCCCGTATAAGTACTATTTCGGGGTGTCCCAGATGTTGGGACAGTTGGATGGTTGGAACAAACCAAGAGGGTCAATGGGGTCCAACCAATGCCTTCCGATATCGTATGCAAAGAAAACACATGATGGTCCTGCCTGAGCGATCGGAACCTGTTTGTTAGAATCCGTGGGTCTCCGGACTCGGTATATAAACGGTGCAAAGTCGAGCCTTAAGATGAGGACAAAGAGACGATGGTAAACCGGCCTATCCGCCGCCCCAATTTGACGCCTCTGCCCCCGACCCGTGATTTCCTTTGTAACTGTCCACTGCTCCCATACGCAACTCAGGGGGTGGTTGAAGAGATCCAGGGTATAGGTTGGATGCGCCTCTGACGATTTCCCCATTATATGTGGGCAAATGAACTTGTTGGTGGCTAGCGCTCCCTACACAGAAACTCCAACTAAGGCCGTTAAGTGAGAACACCTCATCTCCCCAAACAAGTCTATGAATTGATGCATAACATATATATGTATATAGTCTTGATGCATGTATAGGCCCAACCAAAATCACACACTCACACACAGAACAGGCAAGCAATCTACACCAGCTGCGAAGACTGTGTTAACCAGAATTACGGAACCTGTCAAGGGAAAATGATCGAAGTCTTGTTTTGAGCCTCAGCCGCCCATCAGAATTATTTTGCCCAGAGGGATTGATTTTTAACAACCAGCTTTTCTCACCAAGCCGCTGATGGCGCAGGAGCAAAGCGTCACCAGGGTGATGGATATCGACCCCCAGACCCCCCACTTTGTCCACCCCCAGTTCTGCCGGGCACGGCACACCTGAGCGCACGGCAAAACTCCTTTAACTTGCAGCGCGTTGCCATTGCCATGCTATAAGCTACACATGAATTTTGACCACCTGTTTGGGGACATCTAGGGGTGCAAAGGGTTTCTACCATTCTAAGCTGTTGCGCGGCCCCTGCATGTTGGTAAACAAGGGGTCTACAAACGGTAAACCCTACTAAACGCGGCAGTAGAACCTGCACAGCGAGACTGTGAGACCAGAAACATCCAAAAGGACTCGAACAGCAAAGTCAGCGACGTGTCGGATTTGTTTGCAAACGGGCTCTGACTCTGAACCGTCAAATGAACCTAAAGCAAAAACCACAGCAGGGCGTAGAGATGCATAGGGCATAGGGCACCCACGGTAGGCCTCACTGCGACCACGCAACCGCCTCATTGGTAGTTAACTGTCTGATCCACAGCGGGCGTTGTCCCGGTCAAAAGGGGGCAAGAAACATCCGCATATTTACCAAGCTCACGTTTATGGGGGCCTACAAGATCTACAAGGGCCGTGAGCTGAGGATACCTTAGGCTGACATAAACGCCAACACCAACACCCAACATCCAACATCCAACACCCATCACCACAACCGCCACCGCCACCGGCACCGGCACCGCCACCGCCGCCACCACCACCAGAACAACCGCCGCCGCCGCCAGGACAGCGACAACGACCAATAACCAACGACAACAACCACATAACCACCAACCAACTATCAACGACAACGAAGACGACGGCAACCACCACAACGACCACAACAACCACAACAGCCACAACAACTGCGACGACTACATACGACAACGACAAACGACAGCAACAGCAACACATGCAGCAATTCTTCAGGCAAGGGCCACAAAAAGAATCATCCCAGGTGACTTAAGGCAGATGGCAGGTTCTGCGTGAAGGCGAGACACCAACATGTTGTAAAAGATGCAGGCTGCGCCCAAGACTCCTCCGAGCACCCCAAGAAACACGAAGACCACGTATTCCTGAGGAGCAACGGCGGCAAAGGAAATCAAAACTAAATAATGAGAGTACTGAGCACTGATAACAAAAGCACATTCACATACAACCAACAAACCACAGGAAACAAAGCAAAACAAAGAAACAATCCGAAGAACAGTAAAAGCAACAATAGAATGAGAAACAAAAGGCAAACCAACAACACAGTACTGAAACACTGAAACCTGACAAATTAACAACACTCACCTGCACCTCCTCTGACAAACATCTGGCAAACAAATGCAAGCCAAAAAGAACAGGGTTGATTGAAGTGACATTCTCAAAATTATTCTGTACATGTTGCTTTCGAAGGAAACCACCGCGACCAACAAATAATGTTGAGAACTCTTCAAAATGCGGCCACCAGAAGGGACCAAACAGAAATTGAAATTCATCTCAGAAGCAGATCAGAAGGTGATTTCTGAGCCAGCTAAAAAGGGAGATGTCGGGAAATATGAGCCCTGCGAAAAGCAGGCCAACCAGAAACCGACGGAAAAAAGAAAGAAAGAAGAAGCAGAGATTCCACGAAGGCCGGGAGGTGGTCATAGCGAGCGCCTAGGCTTTGCAGCTCCTCGCGCACGGCGTCAAAGCGCTGAGCATAGGCGTCCACCACCAAGTCCGCCAAAATCGAGGCCAGAAAGGCGTAGATCAAGGTCCTTTCAGCTGCTGCGCTGGTGCGATACTAGGTCCTCCAGTAGAGAGGATAGAATATGCCTGATTTCTTTCTGTAGTCTATTTTAGCAGGGGAACCCTCACCCAAAAAAGGGTAAAGGGCAGCAGTGGGGGACCTAGGATATGTAGGGAATGAGAGATGCAATGAACCCAGTTGCTTTGGTCCCCCTAAAGAAAACCACCAGTTGGATGTTTAAGGACACCAGGGGTCCTTCATCCACTAGCACCGTATTTTGAATCGGGGGGGGGGTAGGACCATCCTGGGCTATACACATGACTCTGTTCCATATTTAGGACTCTGTTCCATATTTAGTCTTTCCTAAGGTATGAAGTATGTTCGGAGGAGACCCCAGCTTTGTCTTGTTCCACTTCCCCATGCAACTCGTTTTGCCTGTTCATCTCTCTAATCTTTTGTGACATCTTCTTTGGGACCAGCTTGGCATCGAGGAGATCCGCACTTTTAGCCCGTAGTGGCCAATAAAGTCGTCTGACTATCCTGTGCCCTGATCTGATGGCTCAACGAGGCCGCAGGAAACCTCATAGGCTCCGAAACTGGCAAAACGGACACCCACGCAGAGGGAGACCCAAGGAAACCGTCCAATCTTCTATCCTTTTGGTGTGGTCATCTCTTGGAGACCCGAGGGAAAGTCACCATGTTTGTCTTTGCTTCTTCTAGTGGCATTTTTTACCCTGCGCTTCTTGGTTTCTTTTAAGCCAAGCTGCTGCTGCGTAAATTTGCTGCTCATCTGCCTGACGCGTTCCAAAGGACCGGCAACAACATCCTAATCCATGGTGCCATGAGAAAATCAAGTGCAACAACTGGCCAAAAAACCGTTTCGGAGTCAAAAGGGCACCGACAAAAAACACAATGGCACGAAAACCGCAGAAGACAACTTAAGACAACTACAATTCCTCAGCCACACACACTCCAAAATCAAATTCGTCAGCCAAACACACTCCAAAATCATGGTTTTGCGAATTTCCTGGAAACACATCCTACGGCTTCTGGGACAAAAGGAGGAACACATTTAATTTTTTTGCCGCTGGGGTTGGGCAAGTCAACAGGTTTGGCATTGTGGCTGCTTGGTGATAAGCTGGCATGTTCCCAACAACTTAAAGGCGAATCCAGCACCTACGAACAAGCAGTCGGATTGCAAAGGCTTCCATTTGTCTTTACCCAGACTTGCACCCATGGTGTATTGCACCAAATCTTAAAGCACCGTGGTGTAAGTCTTGGGGGAATCCAACAAATTGACACTTGGAATCGCCCGAGCCGGACTCCGTTTGGCTATACAATTATTTTCCTGTTGGTTTCCTAAGGGCTTGAACCAAGACTTGCGTTACAAGATCCTACACATGTAGCATTTTCTCAGTTTCCCTCTTTAAAACCACCTTCCATTTGCTTAAGCTGCCCGAAAAAAACATATTTCCAGCAGTGATAGATTCCCTTGAAAACCGACAAGGGCAAAAACAAAAACAAAAAAAAAACGGAAAAGCCGCCCATGAAAAAAAACAAACAAACAGAAAACACAACATGCATTTCAGCCAACGGAAAAGAAAGCCACCCATGAACAACAAAAACAAAAAAACAAAAACCACCTTCATTCTCAGCCAACGGAAAAAAAAACCACCCATATTTTTTTGGTTGGAAACGCCTCCCCTCCCCGTCTCTCTCCCCTCCCCGTCGCTCCGTCGAATTCCGCATCGGTCGGCTTTTTCTCGTGAATCCGATCCGGTCCGGTCCGGGGGGCTCGTAGCTCCACAGCACGCCCCCCAGCGGCGTGCCGAAGGCCGCGGAGATCCCCGCGGCGCAGGCCACGGAGATGAGCTCCCGGCGCGTGGCCTGGCGCGCAGCGGCGCGGGCGGCCCAGGGCGCGGGGGCGGCCGAGCTGGGCTGGGGGGGGGGGGGGGCTGGGGGCCAAAGGGCGGAGGGGAAAAAGACGAAATTTCCAGGAAAGCACCTCGAAGACTTTGTGGGTGATGCTTCCAAACTGCAAAATACCAAGACAGAATGGGGGTTTTGTATGTTTTCAAAGTGGTGCGAAATGGATTTTGTCCACCCACAGTATGTCCATGTTTTTTTCCTATAATGGCTCGTGAACTCGCGAGTTTCAACCATGGCTGTCATTTTTGACGGTACCCTCTAACCTGATTTGTCTGACGGCTCTTTCACTCACTTGTGGTTTTAAAACTAGATACTGTGGATGGACGAAATCCAACTCGCACCACCTCAGAAACGGGAATCGTCATTCCAGGGTGTTTTTGTGTGGTGCTGGATTTTGTCCCTCCACAGTATGGCTGTCATTTTTGAGGGTCCGCCCTCGCCCTGGGCTGATTTTTAATGGGAGACCAACAGGAAATCTCCTGTGTTGGGGGTTCCCCTATTGCTTGGAATGGAAACCAAAAGGAAGCGAGCTGCTTTGGGGGTCCCCAAGGTTGACGCATACCCATCAATGATACCCTGCACAGTAAATAGTCATTTCGCCACGCAACCGCGTCCATGTTCTTTCTATTGCAGGGGTGGGAACCCCTTACTGGGTTGCTCAGAATGGGGATGGAATCCCTGGAACCCGCAAGGGAAACCCACTACCACCTGGCATAAGCATCAAGCATTCGGATAACTTGTGCCTTAGTTCACCGAACATAAGGACTCCCAAGAAAACCTTTCTGGGTTTTTGGCTCGTTTTGCCGGGGCGACGCGCTGGTTGCAACTTGCCCACAGTCATTGGGCCCCGCAATTGTGCTGGGCACCCTGAAGGAAAAGTAATGGCTTGTTTCAAAGGGAAGGCAAAGCAAAAACGCACTACATTCCCGCCGTGGTTATTGGTCTCATACATCACCATTTGGCTCAATTCAATTGAACTTCCTTTTGGAGGAGTGATGCTTAGAAAGGACATACAAAAAAGGTATGAATGCAACGAGGAGCAGATCAGGGGGCTTCCCAAACCTTCCTCATCTGCCTTCCCTAGTCGCTGCGCTTTGATGCAGGAGACACCCCAAGATCCAGAGAATCCGGAAAGACCGAATCCCCCTGCCATCGGCTGAGGAAAGAGACAGAAGACACGCACACAACGTTGCAAGTAATTGAAACCTCTGAGGGAAGGGATTTCAGAAGCTTGCATGCTTGTCCACATACGATTTGGGGAAGGCAACAGCTCTAAATTCGTCTTTTCAGCGTTTTCAGGTGGTGACTGGGTTCATAAATCAATTGGGGGGGAGAAACTGCACGGAAGAAGTGGGACAAAACAAACAAATGGATCACATCTGGTTGCGAGAAGTTAGAAACACGGATGGGACCAACCAACCAACCAACCAACCAACCAACCAACCAACCAAACAACCAAACAACCAAACGACCAAACGACAGACCGACCAATCCACTCATCAACCAAGCAAACACAAACGCAAACACAAACACACAAACACACAACAAACTCACAAGCACGCAAACGCGCAAACAACACACAAACAAGCTAAGGAAGGAAAAGCGACCAAACGCCGGAAGTGCGCGCTTGCGCCAGCACGCGCAGATTAAGCGCGCAAATTCAGCGCGCCTCGTTGTTGATACTGCTAAGGCGGTAGCAGAGATCCGCCCAACAGGCCGCAAGGTGCAGCATCACACCCTGGCGCTTCACCCTGCTACCTTCAGCTTCCCTCCAATTGCTGGTTTTTAGGTCTCTTCCAGGGTGGTTTCCCGTTTATGCGCTACAAGAACCAGGGGTTCCAACCCCAAACCAGCAATCCAAAACACCAACCAAGGCCCTTTCCTGATGGTGGGTCAAAACTGGCCACTCAACTTCTAGCCGCCCTGGCCTTCCAACATAGAAGAAAACGCGTTGACATTGAGGGAATCAACCAAAAGGCACGATCGCATGCTTGTCCGAATCAACAGGTTTTCAGGAACCAGGTGGAATGTTGTCGGCCTTAAGCAGGAGCCGGTTCGGAGGTTCCGTGCTTCCAAAGGTGCTTCCGATTCGAGCCCAAAGTGGGCGGTCAACACCAGACCCTCCCCCCGTTTGTTTGTTGCCTGCTAAGTCCAGACAACCTGCTGGAAATTGAGAGTGCTTTTTCCCCATGGGACCAGATGAAGGAACCCATGGTTGAATAAATAGGGGAGCAGCATCATCCCCCAAATTCCCACTAGGGGTTTTGGCAAGTCGGACCAAAACAGAGTGGGGGGGGGGGGGGCCAAAACCAAGGGACACCTAAGAACGAAAAGGGCGCCCTGTCTCGCCTGATGTTGCTGAGCAAGAAAGACACTTGGAGTCTACCTT